AGATTATGATGTTAGATAAGCAATCTTTTGCAAATTATAGTTTCATTTATATATTTCACATAATTTATTCATGCTTATTTACTTTATAATAAGGCTTCTAATTAATTGAATGCACTTTGGGGCTCAATGCATAACAATCAGTATCAGCACAGAAAGAGAGGCCTCACATCTATTTTAAGGCTGTCATATTCCATGATTGTGATGGATGAGTGTGAGCAAACATAAATCATCTTCATATAAATAGTTCTAGCTACAGAGCTTAAGTGTTGGTACAAATAATTTGATGGTGGTTTGAATTTATTTTTTTCCTTATTTCAAAATTAGGTCATCTAATTACAGAATAATTAGGGAAATCAGATGCATGCATAAATGTAGCGACACCCTGTCGTGGCTAATATCTTGTGGTCTGACAGTCAGATAATGAAAATCTTTGTTTACTTCCAGTACACTCCAGTAAATTTCCAGTAAATTGTAGTGACCTAGAGTTTAAACACTGCCAAAGGAAGTCAGTCAGAATAATGGTATACGTGGGAGTTGAGTCTTTCTGGACTGTGATATTCTCACATCATGTCTACCCACTGTCTTCCTCTTTCACCACAGGCCTGTGTTCCTCTGCGGAGGAGACCTGGTCGCAGACTCAGGCTTTGTTGGCAGTGAAGGGTTCCCAAGCTTTTACAAACCCAACAGCAAATGTACCTGGCGTATCACCGTGAGTCACTTATCCTGCAACATGTCTAAATACTGACTCCTTTCCTCAGTCTTTCAGTGTCTTACTCATGTACAATCTCTCTGGTTTCCAGGTCCCAGAGGGAACTGTGGTCATGCTCTCTTTCCGCATTTTTGACCTGGAGGCTGACTCACAATGCCGCTACGACTATCTGGATGTTTACAATGGCCATTCCAAGTTGGTGCAAAAACTAGGCCGCTTTTGTGGAACTTTCCGGCCTGGCGCTCTTATTTCTACCACAAACACCATGATGCTGGAGATGGTGTCTGATGGAGAGACGCAGGGAAGGGGGTTTGTGGCCTATTTCAGTGGAGCTAAACCATACGTAGATGGTATGTGGTCACATTTTAGAGTGATTTTTACTACTTTTATCTTTATATCATGTCCAGCCTGCATGGGTTTATAACACACTGCAAACAATGTTTAAAGGCTTTATGATTTTTTTCCTATATACTTCCTACTAATACATCCCAAAATGCTGAGCAATTTCTTACTCATAATTTACTAAAACTTAGAGAGATAAGTTATTAGCTATTGATAAGAACAACTTTTCAGGTTGTGAAAAAATCTTTTTTGCTGATATGACCAATCACCCACTGAAAAAAAAAACTACAGAGGATCTGGACAAAATCCAACTTTGAACATTTATAACTCCATTATTATGAAATAGGGGGATAAATAAATGCTAGCCAAAGGGGATTTTTGCAACATGGCAACCCAAAATATGTGCTTATCAACAGCTTAAAACTGATCTGTAATGATCATTTATAAACCATTAACAAAGCAACTTTTGAGATTTGGAGATTTGCATTAACATCAAGAGTGAACACAACAACACTAAGACTGTATATGCACAACAAAGTTTCTTGCGAAGTCCTGAGCTTGCTCAATTTTATTTCCCTCAAGAATACTTTTGATTCTACCAAAATGAATAGCTAAGAATACCAGCTATTAACATAAAATCAGCCATTACAATATTAAAAGTCAAAAAGTCATCAAGAAGAAAAAATGTGTTCTAAAGTTTGTGAACAAAATCATTGCTCTGCCTATTTATTAGTACAGTCTGCTTTTATCTGCATTCATTGTCCTCATGGAGTATGTGCGACTTGTTTCAGACCAGCAGTTCTGTGGGGGGAAGATAACAAAGGCTCAGGGAGAGATCAAGACACCCAACTGGCCTGACAAGAAATACCCACCAGGAACCAGCTGCTCCTGGCTTATCACTGTGGAGCCCGATATGGTCGGCGACACACTCACTCCCAGCATGCAAACAGTTTATTTTCCAAATTCTTTACACACAACAAGGAAAACAACAATTGATCATTTAATGTCATATTTCCGTTTCTATTTGGGTACCAGGTAATCCAGGTGAACTTTGATAAGTTCGTCTTGGAGGATGACACCTATTGTCGCTTTGACTATGTGGCATTCTTTAATGGCGGAGAGAAAGATGATTCACGGCTGATTGGGAGATACTGTGGCGATCAGTCCCCACAGTAAGTGACAGATCTCTCTAAAGCTGTTTGATGGCCTTTAAAGTCATCTTAAATAGACTACTCTTAACTTTAAACCTTGTTTTCTACCGTTTCTCGTGTCCAGGCCCATTATTACCAGCAGCAACGTGCTACTGGTCCAGTTTGTGTCTGACCTCAGTGTGACATCTGATGGGTTCCTCGCTTACTATACAAGCATCCCCCGTGGGTCTCAGATACCAACTGTTGACGCAGGACCTGGTACAAGGTCCATCCCTTCAAACCCTGCAGTAAAAGCCATTGAACCTAAGAGTCCCGCCACCACTGTAAAGCCACCCATCCCCACTACCAAACATGTGCCCACCAAGAGACCCAAACCAGTCAAGCCAGCGAGAGGCCGCGGACAGGGCACCACAGGCCAGGACAGGAGGGTGCCTGTCACAAGGCCAAATGGAAATAGGCCTGGTGGGTGAAGTTATGTGCACGCTATGTTTGTGTGTCAAAGTGCAGAAGATGTACATCTAATGTACCTTTTTAATGTTTTCTTTATGTTCTTAGTCCCTCAAAATCCTCTGTGTGCCAAAGCCTGTAAAAGAGATGGAACCATCAAGACCAGCTTCTGTGCCAGTGAATTTGGTAAGTTTCTTGCCATTCATGTATGCAACAAGTATTCAATTAGATGTTGTGTTCTGACTGAGCCCTTCTTTCTTCAGTGTTAACCGGGAAGGTGACATCTCTGGCCCCTGGGCCCCGAGGCACACTTCTTGTTAGCGTGTCCCTCATTAAGGCCTACAAGGCAGGTCGGCTAACAATCACGCAAGTCGGAGAGACCATGTCGGTGAAGCTGGTGTCACAGTGCAAGAAGTGCCCGATGCTCCGCAGAGGTATCGACATCAGGGATTTTCACACAACCCACAGATTATTAACATTTCCATTTACTGAAATATAAAACTGATCAATCTCCATGGTCATTATTTCCTTTCCAATAGGTGCCAACTACATTATCATGGGTCAAGTGGCTGAAGATGGACGTGGAACCCTGGAACCTGGTGCATTCACAGCTCCATACAAAGCCCCACATCACAAATTATTAATGAATATCAACAACCAACCCTGTTAACCTCAAGTCTGTCCAGGCCAGGAAATTTAAACAACATATCAAACACAAATCCAAATATTACAATGTGAAATCAATGTGAGATCTAATATTACAGTAAACTATAACTGCAGTTTTATCCACCATTTTAAAGGAATACAAATTTATTCAAACACATGCCAAACCTTATGTTTGTAATTTATATTTGAATAAAGGTTATATATCTCTTTCAGCTGGTTTGACTGCATACTTATTTCTAACTTTGCAGCTCTTGCTGTCTTCAACTGTGTCTCTAGTACCACCTACTGGATTCGAAGAGTGATAGCACCCAAGCTAAGCTCTTGGTAATCATAACAATGTTGTTATGATTATTGTGATTTTGTCTAAAGCATATCTAGATTTAAAATCCTGTCATATGTGTTGACCATGTGTCATGTAGTCAGAAGTCAAGAAGTCTCACATGAAGATTAATGATCCCAGAGTGGGTTTTTATATCTAACTGACTGAAGTGGAACGAGAACAGAAATAGCTATTAGATTCAAACAAAGTAAGGATGTCCAGGATGGTCTGGGATCAGCTTTGAACACTTTGAAAGGAAATAAGCAGATGAAGAACATTTAATAAATGAATTGATGTTGCTGTGGTCAAAACAGACAGATAATACTGAACTGAATATTACAAAGTGAACTTACAAATAGCACATTATAGGCTATTTATTTCAATTGCAGGGCACTATTTTGCACTTTACTCCAACATATAGGATAAACTTAATGGACTACGCAAAATCGTCACAAACTACTTCAAATTGTACTAAACCTGCACTATCTCCTAGGCCAGACCTACAAAGGCAAAACATACTATACAAGGGGCAGAGGGCTTTTTGAATTTGCAGTACCAACAAAACGGACCAAAAAAACAAACAAAACACAAGTTAAAACACTTTGGCTGTACTGCACTGTGGCTCTGTACTCTCTGCCACAGAGGGACAGCTAACTACAGCTAATAGAAAGTGAGCTCTCCTGCAAGCTATTTCACTGAAGCTAAGTTTGGTTAAAGATTTTTCCTTTCGTTATCTGTACTGACACTTTGGTTATTCAATTTGTTACTCCAAATGATTAAATAAAACAGCTGCCAATTAATGAGAAAGAAGAGGAAAAAAGAAACAGCTAAACGCCTGCTAAAGGTAGCTAGCTTAGCATATCTAACTGTCATCTTATTTTTTGACTAAGGAATTAATTTCATTCATTTCATGTGATTTGGTGTAGTTAAGTTAGCTTTAAATACTTACAGTAAATATATCAAATTGTGAATTAATGTATTAAATTTGTTCCAATGTAAATATTAAAGGTCCAGTGCGTAGGATTTAGTGGCATCTAGCACTCGCTTCACCCTCCCTTTCCAAGCACACTTTTTACTTACGCAATACATATGAAAATGTACCACTGAAGAGAATGTGACAAGCATTCCCAACTGGGATTAATTTTGTGACAAAGCTAAGAACCCCATGTTGTAACTTTTTTTTTATTACAAACCATTGTTTTAAAGTCTAGAAGAGAAACACTGAAGAGCTGGATATTCACATTTTGACATGAAAAACATTAAAAGTCCTCTCACCTAAATGTCTGGTGCCTGAAATGGCTTTGTAGGTGACCTTTGACCCCAATTCTAAACATTTCAGTACCAACATTCTTTAACAGCGCAGGATCAGATCTATTGTGATAATTATTGTGTGAGTTCTGTAGCAATCAGGTAGGTAAATAGCACAATCAAAGGACCACAACCTTTTATCTGTTGTACAGTTTGCTGTCCAGCCTGAAAACCTTAAACCATAGTTCTGCTCTCTGGTCTTTGTGAACAATAACAAAAGATAACTCTTTATTACATTTAATTTAAAGATACAGCTTGCATCATTCATGGAGTACCTTCAAAATCCAGACTTTGTTTTGAATGGTATTAATTTGACATTTAAATGTACCCTCTGAGACAATATATAATACAAGAAAAAAATGGAGATCCTCCATTCCAATAGTCACCAGTAGAGGTCAGAGAAGATCCAGAATGAATTCAAACTCCTTTTTTTAGTAATTTCTGGATACCAAAACCAGTTATTTGTTCTGACATGAAATGTATTATATAACACATTAAGTAAATATCAAGCAGTCTATGACGTGCAGAAGTCAGAATGAAACCATTCACATTAGCCTGTGATATCTCTGCTAACAGACACTGTGTTCCCCGTAAATAGAACTCAAATGGCCAGATAACACATGTACAAACAGTCATTAATACATTATTTCAGAAAAATATACAAAATAATGTATCTGCCTTGCCATGAAGACTGTCAGGATCTTAACTAGTTTGGATATTAGATTTTAAAGGAGAGTAAGCAACATGCGTTTGGCAGCTAAAGAAGTGCTATGCGTGGAATAAAATAACAAGAGAAATGCTATGCATTTACATTCTGAGCACTCTGATCACATATACTGCAATCTAAACACTCCTAGAATAATGGCATTGTGTGGAAGTTTGCATTGGGCACACTTCTTTTACTTGTTTACCCCATTTAGTGTATTTTATACTTCTTTTATACCTTCTTTTTTCAAATTAAATCGATACAGCTCACAGTCTATCGTGTTCAATTTGCAGGTATGAAATACAAAGCTTAACAGGTCAAGTGACACTTTATTGTAAAAAGGTATAAAATACATTCAATGCAATGAAATAGTATACAAAATACAAAAAGCAATATTGACTTTCAAACAATGACTATAAATGATTAAATATGATGGATTTTTACAATGGCTTTAGAAATGGAAATTTGCTTTAAAAAACAAAGCTCCAGAATCAAAAAATCCAACTTTCATCATTAAACAAGGATACATATTACAACCATATACAATCATCTTCTCTCCTTTCTTCTCCTCTCCTCTCCTACACCCACACGCTGCCCTTCCTCTCCCTCTCTGAAGCCCCCTGCTGACCACAGCAGCCTCCTGGACTAGCCCCACGGTGGCGTGAGGCTGGCAGGTTCTTGTAGACGGCGCGGCTGTAGGGAATGAAACACATGCCCAGCTGGAGGTGTCGGGCCAGGCGGCAGTAGGCAGCCAGCGCCAGAACCAGCAGGGGGGTGAGCAGCAGGAAGCCCACAACCAGCAGAGCCACGCAGCCAGCATCATCCAGCAGGTCTGAGCAATACAGAGATGTTCCATGGGGTTGCACCTGGAGGGTAAGCGGAGGAGGAAAGTGAATGAAAAAAATCATGGACTATACAGGACATGCACATAAAACTACCTCTAGTTCTTCAGTATGTCCCCCACTTAAGTCCCAGTCTGTTCCATAGGCTCCAAAACCTCTTTTGACTTAGTATGTAACTAAGTCCAAGGAGGTTTTGAATATTTAGTGTGTCCACACTAGAAACAGGAGTAATTAAGTTAATTTAAAAATATAAGTTTGTTGGAGTGCACCATTGTTCCACAATGCATTGCACAAAGGATCCAAAGCAGCTTAGTCACAGCTGCTAAAAATTAAAACTAAGCTCCAAAAGACCCAGTAAGATCTTGGAAAACAGTATCGAATCTCTTGAAAAACAGAACAGTGGCATTCCCAAATTCCCAGTCTGACTGACAGTCTACATCATTTCCTGTTAGGACGAAAGATTTCTTGTATATTATCTTATATTACTATCTATTATAACATGTTTTATCATGACTGTACCATTGGTACAGCACCATTCTGGCCTACTAGCTTTAAACCTGCATCATCTCAAACCTCTGTCAGTCAAAAAACAATAAAAAAGTGATTTCCACAGCAGACTCTCACCGTCGAGTGGCAGAGGAAGCCGAATATGATCATGGTAAGAGCAGGGGTGAGGATGGTGCCAAAGATGATGCTGGCCAGCCCGGCGTTGATCAGTGCTATGATCATATTCTGTGCAGTGACCAGCACAGAGCATGCCCAGCAGTCCAGAGAGCCCCTTAACTCCAGGGCGGTGTCAGTGGCTTCACTACCCCCCCTGGAGTATGGAGGCGGCACCATGACCCCTGACCCCGCTCTGGAGGGGGAGCCCCGTTCAGAGTGGGCTAGCTCGGATACTGTCTTCTCCAACGTTCCGTTCCGTGACAGACTCATCTTACTTGTGGCCTGTCTATGCAGCAGGAAAGAAAAAACAGTTTCAGCCCAATAACTTCATTTGATTCATGAATCTACCCAACAGTTGGGAGGGAAAGATTACATTTTTGGGGAAAATCTGCAGAAAACTCTATTTGTGTTTCACAATATTGAGATGACGTGTATTCAGAGTGTGCTAAGTATTTCAAGTGTCTGTACTCATGTGTCTGATGTTGAAAAAGGATATCCATAAAAGTTTGTATTTTTCACTATAATCTTCTGTCCTGTCTATGTGCCCTGATTTCTACTACTAAAAACTAAAGAATGTTAATCCATTATGCAATGAGTTCCTTAAATAATGTGGTGAAAGGTGTGGAAAGTCAACACAGATAACTCCACAGCACTAAGTGCGAGGAAATGGGCTCTACTGACCCCACCTCCAAACTCCAGGATAACCACCACCCAGAACAATGAGCCAGAAACAGCTGGAAAATTCAGAAAAATCCCACTAATCACTAATCTGAGCATCTGAACAGTGTTATGACTTTGATTTTGAAAGAACAAATGTTCAAGAACTGCTACCGTCCTAAACAGTTCCACGTGACAAATTAAAAGTTCCACCACTTCCCTCTGTTCTTGAGCGCGTTACCAGCTACTGTTAATATGCTAAGTGCCATGTGAACACGTGTTTTACAAGCAATCTGTCATTGTTGTTCGTCTGTCAACATCATTTTAAGTAAATTACAGATCACTAAATTCATCCCGCCCCCTCCCATCAAGGTCACTTGTTTGTGATGCCAAGTTGTGGGAAACCAAGTATATATAAAAACCATCAGAAGACTTTTTGGAATTTATGTGGCTTTTTGTGGTTTACTGTCTTTTGTATAAATAGCAATAGGAATCAGAAGATTCACATTTTTCTTTTAAAAGACTTTTATAGGTTCTCCAACAACCCTATCTGGCCTAGAAAACATTTTTGAATCGCTTTCATTTTGAAGTTGTTCTGTTTGTGAGTGTATGTCAGTAAAGCCTGTCTTCCATTCAATCACTGAGCTGCTCAAGCACTTTCCTATTGATGACGTCATCAACACAGCTTTCCTGTTAATTGATTGATCAGTTTCAGAAATCAAATCTAACTCTCCAGGATCACAGGAATACACATTAGTGAAGAAACGTATCCGGGTGTTTGATCAAAATGATGTATTCAGGTAAACTGAGCCCTTTTGTTCGGGTCAGGATCAGCATTTTTGTTTTTTCAAACACAGTTTTAATAAAAAAATCAATGGAGTGATGATGGAGTTTCTTGTACTCACTACGGTAAACCTGGCGATGTGTCCTCCTGTAGTTCGATGGAGGCAGCAGATGATGAGACTGAAGAGCGGTGAGTGGTCAGAGACAAAGAGAATTTCAAGAATTTCCTCCTGATGTATGTCTTTTCTGTTTGAAAATCCAGATCTCGAGGGTGATATCCAAGTGAAGGCTGAGTTTCTACTACTTAACTAAATCTAAAACCTTCTCCTTTCGTGTTCTGGCCTATTTCCAAAAATATCATCAGATTTTTTTTCCTGCTGTTATGAATCTAAACTTTTACTTCAGACCTCTTCTGGAGCGGGTCAGAAAAGAGCTCTGCAGACTTGAGGCAAATTCTGCTTTCCCACTGGCTTCAGCGCTTCCTTCCCTGACATTCTGTTTCCTCACTGCGACTCCAGTTTGAGATATGATTTAGTGCGTAAGTGGCTATGAGTGTGTGTGTGTAAGAGTGTATCCTGTGTTGCCTCTGATGCGAATGCACAGAAAGCAGGCTGTGCTGTGTTAAAGGCTGCTGTTGGTGTCTGGGCAGGGGACCAGTGGAGGGTTTCTATGATAACCCCTGGAACCAGGGGGAGGGAGGAAGAGTGTTTATTTGGAAAGATTAGAGGAGTCAGGGTATGCTGCCCAATCCACACTTTACACCCTCACTGAGAACTTTCTCTACTCCACTGTCAAATACTGATAAGATGGATTTCAAAATACAAAACAACTGAGTTGGCTTTATATTGATGTTAATGCCTGACCAAAACCCAATAACTCACAACCTGCAAGTAAACCCTTTTTGCAGTTTTGACACTGACTCTTACATAAAATGTAGGCCATGCTACAGTCACAATCATAGTCTACAGTTCTGATGAGGGTGTGAACAATGAGACAGCACAACCGACTGCTCTGCAGTAACACAGAGCTCTGAAATAAGAAGGTAAAGGGCAAGCCAGAGTTTCTTAAGAAGCAGGACTGACAGAGGATTGGCCCTTGACCTTATGATGAAAAACAGAGCTCCGCTTTCAGAAAACATAAGGAAATGAGGATGGAGAGGAGGGGGCGAACTCTGACTAATTTGGTAGGGAAAATAGGCTATCATGGGACTGATAAGAAACCAGAGGGGCTAAGTTCAAAGGGTGAAATTAGTATTTTGATATGAAGTCTCATTTTTGGGCATCTTTGTTTATTTATGTCTTAGATATATTCACTCCCTTGAGAGAATAAGGGCATTTTAACAGTTGGTACAAGGAAAAATTATCAAAGAGTCCATGGCATTTGAGTTAAAAAATGTGGGAGCCATAAGTGGTTTTGCCATTAACAATGCCACAGTGTGCTGTTTATATGCGTATGTCAATTTCTGAGGGGGTTGGTAGAGGAAGAGTGGTCTTCCTGTCCTTGGAACCGGGATATCCGCTGCTGTGTCCACGTTTTATGAAGAGATGTCCCTGCATCTGCAGTTTTGGCAATCTCATGTCCCCTAACCCGGCAGGTTTAGATAAAGGCAAAAATAGCAACCAGAACGGAAATCGTAGAAAGACACTGAGAGAATAATAAGCAAATGGTTTAATGTTAGAATACATCTATTGTGTTATTTTAGTTCATAACCTGGGTTGTATCATTGGCAGCTTGTAAGGAAGGACTGGGTGTCCCACCTTGGTCAAATCATCTAGGCCACACTAGTCAGAGATTTCATTCATTTGAATGAAATGATGAGTGTTATAGTATTAGGAAGACTTTTATTGGATTACTATCCTTATTAACTAAATGGAGCAGCTGCAGTGTTGGAGGGAAACATAAATGCTCTCTCCTCCCGCAAAATCAACTCTGAAGGTAGCTTTAAGCAAACTGTTCCAGTGAAGCCACCCAGTGGCCATCAACAGACTCTGACTAAAGGGCAGCTGCAACATTTATGTTCATGACTACAATACCTATGAATCAGCAGCTCATTTTAATTAAACATGTACAAACAGAATTTGTAAACAGTATTGTCGAGAATAAAAACATAATAAAAGCTAAAGGCTTATTTCCATAGCTGTATGCACAATGTATGAAGGCTGTCACACACTAACACATGAGACATGACAACAGGAAACAGGAAAAAGACTACAGCCACTATTGCTAGCGGCTGTGAGGATGTGCTTCTGCACAGTAGTGCTTTTAATTAAATGCTAACATGCTCACAATGACAATGCTAACATGTTGATGTATTTACTATGATCATCATTTTAGTTTAGTTTGTTAGCCTGCTAACATTTGCTATAGCTGAGGCTGATGGGAATGTGGTCATAAACTGGACACATTTAACTTTGAGCAGATGATGATGGTTATAGTTGATCCAGAGGGGGGCATGAATGTGTGTACCACCTTTCATGGCAATCCATCAAACAGACATTTCACTCAAAACCACAAACGTCAACCACATGCTGGCACTAGAGTAAGGGTCACGGGTTCAGCAAAGTCATTAGGATTCAACCTCTGCTCTGGGAACTATAGAGATCTCTGCCAAATTCCATGGCAATTGATAGTTATCGAGATGTTTTAGTCTGGACCAAATTAGTGGACCTACTGACACCACCATCCCTAAGGCCATGGCCCTATTGCTACAAACATTGCTATACCTTTCTGCCTTTCTGCAAGATCTGGTACTCAAATAATAGTTCCATATTGACATGTTTACACTGAGTTCATCAAAACAGTATGAACAATTTTACAAGGAAGCCATGTTTCATGCCTATCAAGTAGCCTTTTAAGTTGGGATTTAATATGGCTTTCTCAGACCACATTGCTTGGTACGAGAAACAATATGCAAAGCTGTATTTAATTATACAGTAAAGGTTTTCAAATGAAACAGTGAAAGAGAAGAATACATTGCTCACATTCCATGTTTGCAGTCGATGGTAAACCAACTCTTCCTCCTCAAGAGCTGATAACAGATCATACCCAGCGTATGATTGTGGACATGTAAGAAGAGGATGCCTAGATACCTGCAGATAGGACTGCAAGGCAACTGGTGAAAATACAGAAAGGAAATCAAAGGCAAAGACTCATTGTTGAATAATTTATCAAAACATTTTATTTTCTTGAACAACAATACAATATGTCACAGAAAAATCACAGAGGGATTTAAGACAGGTCTGGCTCAGGTTTTCTTCTATGTGAGTTCTTTTTGAAACAATAAGTGCAGCATAAATCAAACAAGTCAAGAGGAAAAAGAGCATTATTACATCCTTCAAATAATACTAATAATGAGGACAAGACGCAAAAGAACGAAACCTTGACGTCATTAAAAGTCACATCCCTAAAAGTCTCTGCAAAAGTGTCAAGAATTACAACTACTGCTAATGCTCATCATAAAACCACTAATGCCTCACAAGATAATGAATTTCATACAATGGAAAAAAAAAACGCTTCAAAAGATCTCGTATTCATCTGATAGATACAGTACAAAGACATCATTCCATTTCTGTTACAAGCACCTGTGTAGAAATGGTTCTAAGCACCAACCGGTTGGTTTGAGTTGTCTCACTGACTTCTGTTCATACATCATTATATGTTGTTTAATGAGGGGGCATTGAGGCAAGGAGGGGTCTAGCACCATGAAAATTAAACCACCCTCTGATTGCACTTCCCCTATCCACACATTATGACCATACTACATTGTTAAAATACCTTGTAGCCCCTTATCAAGTGAAGTACCCTTTGATATGCAATAAATATATAAGAAAACAACCATGTACAGTATAAATAATGTCACAATTTACAATTTTCCATTTTCTCTGTAATCCAAAAAAACAGAAACTGACAACAAAAAGAGGTATAAAAGTGGGAAAAAATTCCCATTGCAGTAATTTAAACTAGAGTGAAACGGAATATTTTTAGGGTGTATTATAATATAGCAACAACAAAAACAAGTGACTGGACAAATTTGACCATATACAAATTAGATTTTTGATTGAGAACAAAACTACATAAGTCTTCTAGTAAACCTGAAAACAGATACATTATGTACAGTAAATGGTGTGCACAGACTAATGAGGGCAGGGGTTATATCTGAATGTTATTAGAATGGTGACAGAGCAGTGATGCTGAACAGCCATATAAATCCTAAAACACAGGCCTAACCTATGCAACCAAATCACTGCATGTGAGTCCAGTGTAGCAAGTGATAATCAAGCTATCTGCAGGAATCAAAGCTTTTGAATGGACTTTAAAGTAGAGCTAGACCGATAATATTGGCCGATATTAGCTTATTGCAGGTATCAGTGTGGATGTCGTTTGAGAAATAAGAAGAAATTGCAGTATAGAAATTACAAACCAGGTCAGAGGCAATTTACAAACAGTGTCACCATTACATAGTTTGTCCACCAGAGAGCAGTGACAAGTTGATTTTAACTCTGTAAAATTAATGTATGTATCTTGGTCATAATTCTTCAAAACAAATCTAAGGCATCTGTATCAAGATTGTAAATGTAATGTCTTTATTGAAAACAAGAATGCCCATTGGTTGTTGTATTTTTATTAGATTTTTTAAACTCTCAAATAACAATATCAGTATCGGCCTCAGAAATTTAGTATCGGTCAGGCTCCACTTTGAAGCTCTATCAGTTTTGTCTCTCTTGAACTATAACAACATTTAAAGCCAAAGGTTGGACTAAGTAGCCTCAACAAAATGAGGCCTTTAATTTTGAAGATGATGATGATTATTACTGGGCCTTTCTTGTCTCAATCCATGTGCTCTTCAACTTGTTAAACTTAGAAATACAGTATACTAAACCCCCTGGCAGTGTGTGGTGCTGAGCCTCTTTCAGAAGGATGTTTGGAGCAAAATAAAAACACTGAGGTGCCATTCAGTCTGCTCATCTGTTTGGCCTCACTGGCTTTTGCATTATAAGATTATGATTGTGTGTCTCTTTGGACATATTACTTTTTTCAGACTGGAATGGGCACTTCATCGACACAAACATCAATTGCAACTTCACCCCCCTCGGTGGTTCGTCTATGCACACCACTGTGTATCCCATAAATTCATTCACAATTTACAATTATTTATTTCTTCTCTCCTCTGGAAACAAGAACATAGCAACAAAAGAGGTATAAAACTGGGATTGTTTTCCCATTCCAAAAATAAAAACGACGCTATGTCTGTTTTCTGGGTGTATCAAAGAAACCACACTAACAACTATTTAGCTGGACTTAGCTGGAAAACAAAAATTTGAATTTTTCCATCTACATACTTCCTTTCCAACTAAGAATGAAACCAGATTAGTCCTCTAGTAAACCCGTATTTTAGAGAAACTGATAAAAGTTTTTGATTCGTTTTTTTAAATACTTACATAAAACCTTATTTGTGGGTGTTTAATCCTCTAATTACCTCTCCTCTAAATACAGTTTTCAAGGCCAATGTGGTGTACTTCTAGGCTGGTAAAACTTTTTAAGTATCTAACGAGAATAAATAAGATTGGAATAGCACCTCAAAGAGTATACAGACAGGAATTACAAATGTCAGAGTTTACCTGAATACCAAACAAAAACAGGAACCAATATGATGCCAAATGTGACAATCAGCTACTTCTCCTGTGAAGCCATTCCCCTGCTGGTACAACAGAATCACAGCAAATTCATGGACATATAGAATAACTAGATTGGTGTAAAAAAGTTCTACTGAATTTGCATAAAAGTACCTGAATTAATACACAGAACCGGCTACTTGACGCTTTTGAATCACAGCAGTGTCCGTTGAACATATAACCTGATTTTCAGTGCTAGCGGTGCTCACTTTTTTTTTTTTTTGTACACATCTGAAATGCTTTTCATGAGAAGTACCAGTCTAGTCATTCTATTTCAAAACACACGTCCAATCAGCAGCTGGTATGGGGAAGACAGTGAGCTAGAGTTGGATTTGCTGAGTATCCATACCTTATTGTGTGATGTAAACAATACTGAGTAAACGTGATTGGCTGATTCAGAGAGTGTTTTTCAGGAATAGATGCCTTGAAGACAACATTTTGTGCTGCCATTAGAGTTTTGGTTATGGCTGAAAGACACCAGGGAGGAGTCCTCACTTTGAAAAGGGTGATGGAGCCTGGAGGGGAAGAAAAAGAAAGAAAGACAGGGCTCAGCTGGCCACTTTTAAAGCTGTGTGTGTGTGTGTCTGCACATGTTATGTTATGATTTGGAAACAATTAGAAACCAATTATCAGTTAGAAACAGTGTAAACAACGTATCTGAAAATGATCTAATATGCACAAAATACAGACAATACCTTCTCATTATTATTTGCATTTTCCAGTATTTTTGTCCAATTGTGACACCAGTGTTAAGTTTAAATAAATATGTTGTATAATAATACTCTTGGACACCAATACAGGCACAGCATATCACCTAAAAATCATATGTTTCTGCTCATTACTCTAGATGCTACAATATCTAGTATTAAGATGAATCATATATGCTTTTTTCTCTCGCAGCTATCAAGTAAGGAGGCACGCTGATGATTTCACCTTGAAATTTGCTCTGGATAGGTATTCCACCACCGCGAACATTTAGTTTGCACGACCAGTGTTAAAAGTTAGGCTCCTATGCACTTGTGAGCAGAGACTGTATATATTTTATGTATATATTTATTATTTGAAAGGCACCTACAAAGTCCTTGCTTGCAGCTACTAAGCGTTGCAATTATAACATAAACTGGGACAAAAAATAAACAGACGTATTCACTGTAATGGATCACCAAGTTTCAAAACTCTTAAAACTGAACTGAAAAAAAAAACAATAGAAAATCTTATGGTTTCCTGGTGAAGAGTGATGTACAGACTAAAACATGCAAAAGCACAATGATTTCAAGTTTCTCAGATCTCATACAGGATTTGTAATATAGCCCTGCACTGCAGAAGAATGACAACATTATATAGATGAAACAATATGGAGTCTTGGTTGTACCTGATCTAGCCTCAGAACCTTTCTCTGGCATCACAGTTAGTGAACAAGATTAGAAAGTTAGACTGACCAGCGTGAAGCTGTCGTAGGTTTTCATCAGCTCCTCTATCCGATACTGTTCCAGCACCACTACTCCTGCCAGCGATGGACTCTTAGCTCGAGCACAGTCCTCACAGTGCACCACGTAGCTCTTCTTACTGCTGTTCTCGCTGGTCACAAACAGCAGGTTATACACCTCCACCTGCACACACACAGTATCGGTACTGCGGTTAATTTCATGTTTGTAATGCGTCTACAACACAAACGCAAATGGACAATTTACTGTATGACTCACGTCACACTCATTGCAGTAGTAGGCTGGCTCGTCCTTCACACGACTCTGGTAACAGATCTTCTTCCCTGCAGCCACCAGCTGGTCTCTCAGAATCTGGATGTGCTTGATGGACTGCATCAGGCAGTGTCTGACGGAGACAGAGAGGCAGACAGGGAAATATGTAAACAAACACACACTTACACACACACACACACACACACACACAGGTATGCACAAAGAGACATCTTACTTGATCATCTTGAAGGTGTCCTGGTCGCTGATCTTGATGGTGCGAGCCACATTCCAGGAAACGTGGATCATGGGAACGATTGACTTAACCTTCTTCACCTCGTTCCACTCAAAGCGTTCCAGGGCGAGTTGATATTGGTACGCTGGGAGAGCAAAAAAACACAAACAGAGGTGAGGCTGTATTTAGGCAGCATATTAAACAGAATACTTCATTTGTAATTTGAGACAAAAAACAACTCCTGACTACCAAGATTTAGGCTGCTATTTTTCTCTTTCCTCGTTGTAACTTACAGTTGAGCGGTCCCACGTTCCAGGCGATGTTGTTGCACCAGCCCACCGCCTGGACCCAGTGTACAGTCCCTGCATTAATCCACACCAGGTCTCCCGGCCTCTGGATGAAGCGGTACACAGGAATGTTGGAGCTGTAGAGGTCTTCCAGGACTGGCCACCAGGATCCTGTAAGGTAGTCTACTCGATGCCTGGGGGAAACAGTTTGCAACGTACAATTTAGCATGCACAAACACTCTAGCTTCTCGCTACATCTGTTGTTAAATCTCACAGCCTCTTCACTCACTTCTCACAGAATTTGTTGATAGCCCCCCAGTAGTGCTCATGGACAGCAAACCACTCACAGTCACCAGGCCCGATGTTGATGTTGACTGAGCAGAAGTTGTTGTTCTCCTGATGACCTGATGAGGAATGCAAATAGTCTGTTTACTCATTCAAGAATATCCTTCACCACTTCTAAAGTCAGAGGATCACTTCACTTATGCCTAGATGTGTTATCAGAAACACACTGACCTGGTGTGCGGCTTCCTGGCACCTTCATGTAGAGCTGGACAGTGTTCATGCCCAGGATGGTGTG